TATTCACAATAATTGATTTTGTTTTTTCAAAAGCCTTGGTGGAAATTACTGTTTTGCCCCTTTCCACTTTTCCTTCCGATTAGGTAAGTGAGGTCATCCTATCGTAGGCTTTCGTCTTGATTCAATAGACGAAGCAAGCGTACCCGGACACATGTTGAAATCATCATTTATGTACAGACCACCTCCATTCTTCTATGATTCTCAGTTATCATCATTTCAAATCAAATCTAATTTATTTTTTATAACTGAATTAACTAATCATAATCACTCAATTACTTTTTGTGTAAGAAAAAAAAGGGAAGTCACCAATGAAAATTATTGCAACAATGACCCAAAATTAATGGCTGAAGTACTTAATGGTACAATGACATTTGGGTGATGAGTATGAAATTGAGTAGTTAAAATGTCGACCTCTGCTTTTTTCCGTTCCACATACATACACATCCATCAAGATAAGACTTTTCTTGCAGGAATATATTGCCAGTGGCGTCTTGAATCTTATTGCCTTGATTAGTCGTGGAGGATTGGTGCGTTCTACATTATGATTTATGACGGGGGCGCACGATTCTTAGCAAATCTAACTCAAAAGTCTCAAACAAAAGAAGGGGCCATGCATGGCGGCCAGCTAGAAAGCATCAAGCACAAAAGCTAGCAACAGAATTATACATGACATGTAAAATTATTAATAAAGATTATCTCTTTTTCCCTACAATAGTCTTAAGAGTTAAGATAAAAGAGAAAAAAAAGTCTTAAAAGAGAATATTTTACCATGCAAGAGATCCGCAGCGGATCAATTTTGGGAAGCGAATTGTGTTGTTCCTTAGATAAATATTTAATAATAATAATAATTAAAAAAATGGGAGTCCAGGAAAAATAGGAACATGTCCAGTAGCCACATTCAATTGGAACCTGTGAATAGCTACAGAATTATACATACCCTGTCAAATTATTAATAAATATTTTTGTCCCCCTACCATAGTCTTAAGAGTTAAGAATTGATAAAAAAAAGGTCTTCAAGAGAATATTTGACCATTCAAGAGATCAGCATCGGATCGATTTTGGGAAGTGAATAGTGTTGTTCCTTAGATAAATAACTAAATATTTTTGACCCCCCACAATAATCTTAACAGTTAAGAATTGATTAAAAAAAAAAAAAAGTCTTAAAGAGAATATTTGATCATGCAAGAGATCCGCATCGGATCGATTTTGGGAAGCCAATAATGTTGTTCCTTAGATAAATAATTAGCTTTTTTACCCATGTATGCTACGATTTAAATAAAATATATAAAATTATTTTTAAAAAATTACTTGATTTTGATATCTCGTGTTATATTATGTGTTTAATAAAATATATCGAATTAAAATTGAATAAAAATTCATTTAATTTTATCATTTTTAATCAAAATTTTGTATTTGACTAAATATTCTTTATATTTTCATAAATTTTTTATTAAAAAAATATTATTTATTTATCTCTATCTACATTTTTAGCTAAAAACTTATTTTGTTAATTGTTTTTTCTAAACATATTTTTACCTTAAAAATTTTAATTAAAAAATCAGAGAAAAAATAAAGACCAAATTGATCAAAATGAAAAAAAAAATTGAGACAAAAATCAAATAAAAAATATGTACGAGACTAAGAAATAATATATATTTTTAAAAAGATCAAAGTGTAATGTCACGAAAACTTTCATAATAAATATCTTAAAAATATTTGAAAACTACAAAATACCATTACATAACGAAAGTAATATTGTATCTGAGTTTGAGTGCATAGTGCATATGAATCTAAATGAATAGTGTTTAAAATAGTACAATGAATAGTAAATTTATGTTTTGGTTTAGTTTTTTTTTACTTTTTTTTACTCACACTACATTGCAGGTCGAATAAAATATATAAAATTATTTTAAAAAAATTATTTCATTTTGATGTCTTGTGTCTAAATGAATAGTGCAAATAAACGTCTTTAAAAAGTTTAAAATCTATAAAAATGTCAATGCATAGTTAAATAAATAATACAACTAAATCTAAATGAATAATGCAAATAAATCTGGTAAATAGTATTTCAAATACTACAACAAATAGTGACCATATGTTTTATTATAATAATTAATAATAAATAAAAAAATGGGAGCCCAAGAAAAATGTGAACATGTCGAGAAGCCACGTTCATGTGGAACCTGCGAATTTCATATGTTGGTCACCACGCATCCCGGTCTATCCATAAGACACAGTAATAATGGAAGTCACGTCGGGCAATTGTTTAAATTTAATATTCTGTACATCGAACTAGTTATTATATATACGAATTAATTAATAAAATTGGATACGAAAGTAGTTTAATTTTAGAGTAAATTATTCTTTCCTTTATCCAAAGCAATCTTAGTTTTTTAACTTTTAAAAACAACGGTTAGTTCTTCTACTTTAATTTTATAATTATAACTTAGTTGTTTATTTTTTATTTTTTATTTTTTTACAATCCATCCTTAATTCTCTGCTACCATTGACAAAAAACTTCTTTAAAAAATTTTAATTTTTAGCAGTTTAAACCGCAGTGTTTCACGCATACTAATAAAAATTCAATATACTTTAAAAAATAATTTCAATTTTTTTAAGTCAAGAATAAATACATAAATGTGTTTGATTTTTAGAGGCCGTAAAAAATTGAGGCCATTTCAAATTATTTTCTATTTTTTTACAATTTTATGAATATTTAACGTTTTATAAAAATTTTAAAAATACTTCCTCATCTCAAAATATTTTGAAATTATTTTTTAAAATAGTTTGGATTTGTATTAATATAATGTGAAAAATTTCAGTTCAAAATAGCAAAAATTATTATTTTTTTTAAAATTTTTTTTGGTCTGTAATAACAAAGAATTAATTAAAGATATACTACCAAATGGATTAAGTTCTAAATGAGAAATTAAAATAAAAAATATCAACTGTAGATTTTCAAAAACTGAAGGATTAAGTCCTAGTTGCGTAAAAAACGGAGGAATAAAGAATAATTTACTTTTAATTCTGCGACCAAAGGCAGTTAAATGCATGAATTTGTTGTTGGACTGCTTTCGAAAGGGAAAGCTCCTTTTCGTGATCGCCACACAAACTAAAGGGCAGAAAGATCAAAACTCTCCTCTTAATTCTAATATTTAAAAAGAGGTAACAAGCTCGCCTTTTTCTAGAGCGCGGATAAGAATTGGATTAATTAAAGATTCAGCTATGCTAAAATGCCACATGTGAGAAAGGCCAAATATGGAAAACGGGTGCATGGATAAATTAAATAAATGCATATGCATGGTTAAATACAACAGATCCACAGGTTCTGTTAAATTGAATTTTATTTTTTATTTTTGTCAATGTGTATGCTTGGTGAGCAAGATTCAAATTGCTTGACCAATTGACTTTTCTTGATGATGCCTTGTTAAATTAAATATTTAGAAGAGAAAGGGACCCCTTTCCCATCTGGCTGCTTCCACGTCAGTATTTATGTCTTTGCCAGGAAATCGAAACAGGCTACGATGAGGAAGCGCGGGTTTTAAACGTTTAAAATTAAAACCCACAATTTTACCAAACTGGAAGGAAGCGATAAACAGGTTTTGGGTGCTGACTTTTAGGAACAGGAGGGAATGCCCTGCCCCATGCCGTGTAGCATTTGGAGTCTGTATAAAGAATTAGAATTTTGTTGACAAAAGAGCAGAGTTGGAGCAGCTGCTTTAATCATGGCTTTTGACTCGTTGGAGGTGAGTCCGGATGAGTTAAACTTACATAGGAATACAAGTCAAAGAATGCTTGCACTTGAAGCAAAAGAAAGCACTACTGCTCACTTTTATATAAATCGTTTCATTAATAAATGTTAGCTCAAATCAATCAGGCATCAGCCAAGGACCTACTGATAGCATAAAATATACTTTATCTCTGGACTCACTTGATCTCGTTTCAACTACTCCATAATTCCCTTTCTTCCGTAAGGTAAGTAAATGCTTACTCTGTCCCTCTTTCTCTCTCTGTTTTTATTTTTTATTTGTAATTAAAAATGGACTGGAATCTTGTTTTTCTGCTTTTTGGTTTTCATTATTTGTTTATGTTTCGGTGTGTGGATATATAGACAGATAACTAAATGTAGTACTCCTGCAAATAACATAAACGGAAACAGAATAGAAGTACGTACAATATTTCACTACTCTCTTTCTTTTCTTCTTTTCGTAATCCTTTTTTCTTTTCACAACGAGTAGCTTCTTTTTAGCATTTTAATTTTCTCTTCTTGTACCACAAAAGAAATCGCTGAGAAAACACCTTTCTCCCTGTTACCGTCTCTCTCTCTCTCTCTCTCTCTGATCATATTCTTTCTTCTGTCTTGATGAAGTGGGTGGATCTATTCTCTCCAATAGACACTAATTAAAAGTCGGTTCCGTTTAGGAAAAAAAAAAGTAGAAGCTTCGGTAGTGGGATAAAAGTACATGATTCTTTAATGGACATGTTGGCTTTCATTTGGTTCAGAAAATTCTATTCTTTGCCTGCTAGATAGTTGTAGCAAGTTATAACACTGAGTTCTGAAAGTTTTATTAGATTCTTTACTTGTTTTTGCTCGCTTGTTGGGGTTACTAAGTTAATATTAATTCCTTTTGGAATAAGAAATTGATGGTTCTTGATTTATGTTCTTCGAACATAATTCAGGGTCCTTTTGCATTTATTTAAATCCAGATTGACTTTATTCCTTCTCACCTTCATGTTACTTCAAGACTACTTTGATTCCCCTCCAAGATCAAACAAGTAGGTGGTCAATCTAGCGGTATTTTTTATTTTTTGAACAGCCCAGTGACTAAAATTATGTCTCCCATTATCTGATACTTTACTAGTTTTTTTTTTTTTTCTATTATTAAATGGCCTCCATTAAAAGTTGCTGATTTGTTTGTGCTCCGGTGCAGCTGCAATTTAAGTCTTTGTGTATTCTGAGAGCAAGTTGAGAAGTAGATTAGTATCTTGAGGTTCGGGCTATGGCGGTCGAGAACGGCAGAAATGGTGATAACAGTGCGGATGAAGCCACCACATCAAAAAGTCAGGAGGTGGAGGAGAAAAGTTCTGTTGGAAATGGGGACCAACAAAAGCAAGAGAAGAGCAAAGGGGATGAAGAAACTAAAACAGTTCCATTTCTCAAGCTCTTTTCGTTTGCGGATTCTACAGATATTTTGTTGATGATCCTCGGGACGATTGGTGCTGTTGCAAATGGAGCATCCTTTCCAGTTATGTCAATACTTTTCGGAGATCTGGTTAATTCTTTTGGACAAAATCAGAATAACAAAGATGTAGTGGATTTAGTTTCAAAGGTAAACACGATCAGCATATATGCCAGTTTCTTTCACAAGCAATGCTTTTAAGGATAAGTTACATCATGCACCTTTCTGCTCTGGAAGATGCATAATTGGATATTTGGTTCTCTGTTTCTGATATAGAGATTTTACTAATTATCATTTGATAAATGTCAAAACTCTTTTCTAGGTGTCTCTCAAATTTGTCTACTTGGGAGTTGGTTCTGGTGTAGCATCGTTTCTTCGTAAGTATATTATTAACTCAACAATGCCACCTTGCAAAGAAATTGTCTAATGCGTCGAGCATTGTGGATTTATAAACCTGTTCTTGTTGTTTGTCAGAGGTGGCTTGTTGGATGGTCACCGGAGAGAGACAGGCTTCACGAATAAGGGGTACATATTTGAAAACCATACTGAGACAAGATGTTGCCTTTTTCGATAAGGAAACCAACACTGGAGAGGTTGTTGGTAGAATGTCTGGAGACACTGTTCTTATACTAGATGCTATGGGTGAAAAGGTACCAAGCTGCTCTTATACTCTGACCAGAATAAAAAAATAGCAGTGATACCACGATTTTTTTCTGGTTAAATAACCCTTATTATCCATGCAGGTTGGGAAATTTATACAGCTGGTGTCAACATTCATTGGAGGCTTTATTATTGCATTTGTCAAAGGGTGGCTTCTTACTCTTGTCATGTTATCCTCCATTCCCCTGCTTGTGATAGCTGGCGCAGGATTGTCCATCATGATAACTAGGATGGCATCTCGTGGCCAAACTGCTTATGCTAAAGCAGCGACTGTAGTAGAACAAACTATTGGCTCAATCAGAACAGTATGTTTACATATAAAGACCAAGATGTGCCAAAAGGAAAATTCAGTATAGAATGCTAATTGTTTAACTTGTATCCAGGTTGCATCATTTACCGGGGAGAAGCAAGCCATAAATAATTACAAGAAGTTTCTGGTTACTGCATATAAATCTGGTGTTCAAGAAGGCTTCACTGCTGGATTAGGTCTTGGCATCGTTATGTTAGTAATCTTCTGCAGCTATGCGTTGGCAGTATGGTATGGTGCAAAGATGATATTGGAAAAAGGATACATTGGGGGTGATGTAGTTAATGTGATTATTGCTGTGTTAACTGGTTCTATGTGAGTTCCATTAGGAAGCAATATCTATAAAAAATTCATTATTTTTTTCTTTTACTTTTATGGTCTAATCATTTGAATGGTTCAGGTCCCTAGGGCAGGCATCTCCTTGCATGAGTGCATTTGCAGCTGGTCAAGCTGCAGCTTACAAGATGTTTGAGACTATCAATAGAAAGCCAGAGATAGATGCTTCCGATACAAGGGGAAAGATATTGGATGACATCAGAGGAGATATAGAGTTAAGGGATGTATATTTTAGTTATCCAGCCAGACCAGATGAGCAGATATTTTCTGGATTCTCTCTTTTAATCCCAAGCGGAACAACTGCAGCATTGGTTGGACAAAGTGGAAGCGGAAAGTCAACAGTGATCAGTCTGATAGAGAGATTTTATGATCCACAAGCTGGTGAAGTTCTCATAGATGGCATTAACCTCAAGGAGTTTCAGCTAAAGTGGATCCGGGATAAAATTGGTCTTGTCAGTCAGGAACCTGTGTTGTTTACCTCCAGCATCAAGGATAACATTGCATATGGAAAAGAAGGTGCAACTACTGAAGAGATAAGAGCAGCAACTGAACTTGCCAATGCTGCTAAATTCATTGATAAACTACCTCAGGTTATAAGTGGTTCCTTCTATTCGTTCTTGTACCCTCTATGCTGATTTTATGATCTCCAGGTTTACATTTTTAAATTTAATATTGAACATTGAATTTTGCATCCAGGGACTAGACACCATGGTTGGTGAGCATGGAACTCAGATGTCAGGTGGACAGAAACAGAGAATTGCAATAGCAAGAGCCATTCTGAAAGATCCACGAATTTTACTTTTGGATGAAGCTACAAGCGCACTTGATGCGGAATCTGAAAGGATAGTGCAGGAGGCTTTAGACAGGATTATGGTCAATCGAACAACTGTCATTGTTGCCCATCGTCTGAGCACTGTGAGAAATGCGGATATGATTGCAGTTATTCACCGTGGAAAGATGGTGGAGCAAGGTATATAATTAAGCATGCATGATTATCATAAAAAGAAACATAAAAAAATCTCGGGATCCTGCTGAGAAATTTCTTCGCTGTAAATTTTGTGGTCTCTGCATTGCCACATTTTCTCTATAGATCCTGGATCCAAATAATTGTAATTTTAGTAACGTCATCGATTTTTATGCCACACTGTGGATTTTTTTGTGGAACTTCCTATTTATTTACCTAGTCATACCCGAGCATATAGCAGACTTACTTCGTTGAACAATCATGATTCATGCACTAGCTTTCTGCAGCCAAATCAGTTCTGAAATCTACTACTTTTATGATATTTTCATACATGACGTGAAAGAGACAAGGAGAGATATATAACCCGCATCCTTTTTATTGATTGATCAGGTTCCCACGCAGAACTACTCAAGGATCCTGAAGGAGCTTACTCTCAGCTTATACGCTTACAAGAAGTTAACAAAGTGTCCGAACAAGAAACAGATGACAAGAAGTCAGATATTTCTGCAGAGTCCCTAAGACAGTCAAGTCAGAGAATCTCACTGAAACGGTCAATAAGTCGGGGATCATCTGGGGTTGGAAACAGCAGTCGACACTCTTTCTCAGTGTCATTTGGTTTACCTACTGGATTCAATGTCCCTGACAATTCCATTGCAGAATTAAAGGATTCTACGCAGAAACAACAAACTGATGTCCCAATCAGCCGCCTTGCGTATCTCAACAAGCCAGAGATTCCAGTTCTAATGGCTGGTTCTATAGCTGCAATTCTCAATGGGGTCATATTTCCAATTTATGGTATACTACTTTCCAATATGATTAAAACATTTTTTGAACCACCTCATGAGTTGAGAAAGGATTCGAAGTTCTGGGCATTAATGTTTATGACCCTTGGCCTGGCTTCATTTGTGGTGTATCCAACACAAACATACTTATTTTCGGTGGCCGGTTGCAAATTAATACAAAGGATCCGATCTATGTGTTTTGAGAAGGTGGTTCTCATGGAGGTGGGCTGGTTCGATGAGCCTGAACACTCAAGTGGAGCAATTGGTGCTAGGCTCTCAGCAGATGCAGCGACAGTGCGTGCTCTGGTTGGAGATTCTCTTTCCCAGTTGGTTCAGAACATTGCTTCTGCTATAGCGGGTTTGGTCATTGCCTTTACTGCATCTTGGGAATTGGCACTGGTAATCCTTGTACTACTTCCTCTTATAGGACTCAATGGATTTATTCAAATAAAGTTCATGAAAGGATTCAGTGCAGATGCAAAGGTATACTCTTTAACTCATGACCTTGTATTTTATTACTGTAGTGAGCAAAAGAATATGAATTTTGACATGGAAAAGAAGTTTTATTCACGTTCCCTGCAGCCTTTCTCAGAAATTACCATTTGTTACATTTGGTACTTGAAATTAATCATCAAATGTACCGAAAAAAAAATGATAATCATATTCGTTGATCAAAATGTTTGCAGAAAATGTATGAGGAAGCAAGCCAAGTTGCAAATGACGCTGTTAGCAGCATAAGAACTGTTGCTTCTTTCTGTGCTGAAGAGAAGGTGATGCAATTATACAGAAGGAAATGTGAAGGCCCTATGAGGACAGGAATAAGGCAAGGGCTGATCAGTGGAACTGGATTCGGAGTTTCTTTCTTTTTACTGTTTTCTGTCTATGCAACTAGTTTCTATGTGGGAGCTCAACTAATCAAGCACGGGAAAACAACTTTCTCAGAAGTTTTTCGTGTGGGTATATCTTCCTTGTGTATGAATTCTTTCCACAAGATTTTTATAGCTTTTCTTAATAATACCTAATCACGTGTCTCCTTGCAGGTTTTCTTTGCTTTAACCATGGCAGCGTTTGGAATTTCTCAATCAAGCTCCTTTGCTCCTGATTCCTCAAAAGCCAAGGGTGCAGCTGCTTCCATATTCTCTATTATAGATCGAAAGTCGAATATCGATCCAAGTGATGAGTCAGGAACAACATTAGACAATGTGAAAGGAGAAATCGAACTTCGCCACATAAGCTTTAAGTATCCAACTAGGCCGGACATTGAAATTTTCCGAGACCTCAGCTTGGCCATTCATTCTGGCAAGGTAAATTATTCATGCTTTGAATCAAATTCTTTCAAGGATATTGTCTTTGAAAGAATGGAATACTGATTGTAGGGCACTTGTATCATTTAAAATGTCGTGTCAAATTCTACATTATTAACGTTAATCTTCTTTTAGACTGTTGCCCTGGTTGGAGAAAGTGGAAGTGGGAAATCAACGGTGATCTCACTATTGCAAAGATTTTATGATCCCGATTCCGGTCATATAACTCTTGATGGAATTGACATTCAGAGTCTGCAACTCAAGTGGTTGAGGCAGCAGATGGGGCTTGTGAGCCAAGAACCAGTTCTCTTTAATGATACAATCCGCGCCAACATTGCATATGGAAAGGAAGGAAATGCAACTGAAGCAGAAATTCATGCTGCATCGGAGCTGGCCAATGCACACAAATTCATTAGTAGTTTACAACAGGTCAGAATATTATATAACAAATATCAGTAATTGTTTCCATTGATATCATCTTCTGCAAGTACAGGTAGTAACTTAATTTGCTTAAGCAAGCAGCCATGATGTAACTAGCAATAGGCTTTTCCATTGATAGGATTCAAAGATCATTCATGCCATATGGTTAGGTGGTTGTTATCAGATGGAATATTTTGCTAAGATGCTTGTTGTAATTTTGTTGGCTTATGACAACGCAAAATGCAGGGGTACGACACTGTTGTAGGAGAGCGAGGAACCCATTTGTCCGGGGGACAGAAACAAAGGGTGGCCATTGCTCGTGCTATAGTCAAAAGTCCCAAAATACTTCTATTGGATGAGGCTACCAGTGCACTGGATGCTGAATCTGAAAGGGTGGTTCAAGATGCACTGGACCGAGTTATGGTGAATAGGACTACAGTCGTTGTGGCCCATCGATTATCTACAATCAAGAATGCAGATGTTATTGCCGTGGTGAAAAATGGAGTCATTGTGGAGAAAGGCAAGCATGATTCTTTGATCCATATCAAAGATGGTTTTTATGCCTCTTTAGTGGCTCTTCATACGAGTGCCTCAACGTCTTGAGTCACACCTGCAATTTTTGTGCCACCACATTTTTTATGAAGGGATGTTTTTTCCTCATTCCAAACCCTGACGAGATATATAAATGTCAAGTTTTCTTTTTTCTTTTACGGAATCTGTACTGCAATTTGTTGTATACAAACATAAGCAACAGAAAAAAACCACCATTTTATTAGTTGATTTAGGGAATTAGAAATAAAGGATAAGACAACATTAGTGCCAATGGCAAGAATTTTAGCTTCATGTGGAGTTGGATATGAATCTGATGAAGGTTGCTGTTGATGATCATAGTACTGATACAAAGCTCTGCAACACATTTTGCACCAGATTTTTCCCAGATTTTGTTCCATTTTGTTTTTTTAATATTTTGTAATACAATTAATGAATGTACTAGAAGTTCGAATAAATTGTGATGGAATTTAATCTCAGCTTTAGACTAGGCAACAAATTTCCTTAAATTATGAAAATTTAGTATTGACTTATACTTTTATATCAGTATAAATATGTCTCTGTAGTGATGAAATATAAGTTTCCTTTCATATTTTGTCTATCTTCTTCTTCTTTCATACGTATATACTAGAAACTTCTTACATCTAGTATCGAGCTACAATTGATCTTTGTGAAGCTGTGTGTGAGGGAAAACAAGTAAGAAAACGTCACTTAAAAAACCATAAATACTTGACGATTTGAGTGATTTTTATGATGGCTACAAGCGATACTATTTCTGCTCTTTCTCCTCCAATCTTCACTGGAGAAAAATATCCTGTGTGGTTTGTGAAGATGGAAGCATATCTTAGGGGTCTTGACGTAGCGGAAGCTCACAACAAAAGAAAGATAAGTATAAATACCGTTGATCCGAAATTTAGATACCGGTCTACTATAATCCGTTGATTTGCGCACAAATACCGGGGAATGGGCTTCAACTCCGTTGATTTAAAGAATATTGAAAATTGGGATAAAGTTGAGATAGTCTCTCATAAACTTTTATTAATCAAAGAAAGCTCTCTTTTTCAGCGTAGAAGTCTTACATAAATAGTAAATTTTAGGTCAAAACCCTAAAGCAATTTGAAAAAGAAATAAACACTAAAAATCCAAAATTAAATAGGAAAAATCCCGAAAATAAATAAAAATCCCACTAAAACAGTAATTTGTAATTTTGAGGGCCTAAACAATGTTTTTTTAGCCAAAATAACCCTTACATCATGGGCAAAGCCCATGTGTTTTGCTCGTTGGCCCATTTGGCATCGAATTAGGCTAAAAAAACCTTAGAATAGGGTTAACAATGTTTTTTTCTAACTTCGTCATACTCCTACTATTTCATGAATTCCCGAGCTTGTTGGTCCGTATCATTCCCCCTAGGAAAGAGAAAATTCACCCTCGAATTATCCGGATCATCATCATCCTCATCATCGAGGTTAGCCTCCGACGCCTCCCAATGATGATTTCGATTTTGGTTCCTATGACCTCTCGCTTATGTTCATCGTCGGCGCACCCATTTGCCGTGCCAACACCCCTAGCCGCTATGTCAACTACTGCATGGACTCGCTCCATCCTATCATTCATCCGCTTAACTCCCTACTCCAAACGCACCACATTAGTGCGCTCATGGAGCTCATCCACATCTCGCTCTTGTTGTTGTTGTCTCCTTAGCCGCAAGGTTAAGAAATCGATAACCGAGGCTTCGTTTTTTTTTAGTTTTCGGACACTAAGAATGACATTAGAACCGACTTGAATTGAATTTAAACAAGATAATAACAAATGAGATGGGACGGGATAAAAACAAAACATATCATACTTTTTTTAAAAAAATGAAACTGGTTTAGTTTGGACTAAAATAAATGAACTACAAAGACACGAAATAGAATAAAAGATAATGAATAAGAACCCGATTTATATTGATAAAACAAAGTTAACTACAAATCATACTTTTTTTTTTAAATATAAGACTCAATTTATCAAGCAAAGGAACACGATACTTAAATAAGAAAAAATGATAGAATAATAAGGAAGACGTAACAAAGAAAACAAGACGAGATACGAAATTAAAAAATCACAAGGACTATGGATAACCAACTCGGCTCGATACCAACCGACGTAGTGGAAGCTCACAAGAAAAGAAAGATAAGGATAAATATCGTTGATTTGAAATTTAGATGCCGGTCTACTATAACTTATTAATTTGTGCATAAACACCAAGGAATAGGCTTTAACTCCGTTGATTCAAAGAATACCAAAAATTGAGATAAAGTTGAGATACTCTCTCATAAATTTTTATTAATCAAAGAAAGCTCTCCTTTTTTAGCACAAAAGTCTTACGTAAATAGTAAATTTTAGGTCAAAATCCTAAAGCAATTTGAAAAAGAAATAAACACTAAAAATCCAAAATTAAATAGGAAAAATCCCAAAAATAACTAAAAATCCCATCGAAATAGTAATTTCCAATTTTAAGGGCCTAAACGATGTTTTTTGACCAAAATAACCCTTACATCATGGGCAAAGCCCATGTGTTTTGCTTATTGGCCCGTTTGACATTGAATTAGGCTAAAAAAACCTTAGAATTTGGCCAATAATATTTTTTTCTAGCTTCTGCTGCGCTCCTATTGTTTCATGAATTCCTAAGCTTGTTGGCCCATATCAAGTTTGCTATCGTGGAAAGCTATTGAATCAGATTTTGAAACCGAATTGCTAAATAATCCAACCTTGAATCAGCTTAGAATGTATGAAGAAAGGGTCTCTAGAAAATTTAGAGCCTTAAGTAGTCTTCATTCAGCGATAAATGAGACTATTTTCATAAGGATTATGGCATACAAGACAAGCAAAGAAGTCCGGGATAAGTTGAAGTCGAATTTTAAGGAAATCAAAAGAAAAAACAAATGTAGATCTTTAATTTAAGAAAGGAGTTTGAATTTCTCAAGATGAAAGAGACTGAGAATGTAAAGGAGTACATTGATAGAGTCATGAAAGTTGTTAATCAAGTAAGGTTGCTAGGTGAGGACTTACTAGAAAGAAGAGTTATGGAAAAAGTAATGGTAAGCTGTTCCGGAAAGATTTGAGGCAAAAATATCTTCACTTGAAGATGCTTGGGATTTATCTCGGTTTTCTCTTGTAAAGCTTGTAAGTGCTCTACAAGTCGTTGAACAAAGAAAAGCATTTAAAGAGGAAGAAGGCTCAACCGAAAATGCATTTTTTGCATCCCAAAGAGCAAAAGTGCGGACTAATGATGCAAATAGAAGCCCTTATTCAAAGAGAGGTAAAGATAAAAAATTTAATCAAAGCAACATGAGAAAGAACAGGAGAGACAAGTATCCACCTTGTCCTCATTGCAAGAAGACAAACCACATCGAAAATTATTGCTAGTACGGACACTGGGTTCAATGCAAAGCATGTAAGCGGTTTGGACATATTGAAAGAGTTTGTCTAGGAAATGGTGGTCAACAAATCAAGCTCGACTCGCATAAGTCATCGAAGGACCTAAAGGTCGAGAGGAGAAACTTTTTGTTGTTCGTCGTTGAATGTTTAGTCGTAACTCAAAACACTAATGCTTGGATGATTAACGGTGGTCGTACTCATCATATGTCAACAAATTTAGAAATTTTTAAAACTTTGGACGAGAGCATATTCTTCCAAAGTAAGGCTTGGTGATGAGAGACCAATGGATGTCAAAGGCAAAGGTGTTATGTATGTGCAAACTTTATCAAGTACAAAGCTTATTTCGATGTGTCGTTTGTGCTCGATATTCAACATAATTTATTAAGTGTTCGTCGGTTGTTAAATAAGAATTACTTAGTTAAATTCAAGAAAAATTCTGTGAAATTATTGATCCTTCTAGTATAAAGCTTCTATTAATTAAAATGCATAATAGAAGCTTTAATATTGAGTGAAAAAATAATGATGAAGTCGAAGCTTTTGTTAGTATTGAATTTGACACTTGTTTGTCGCACAAAAAGGTCGGGTCACATAAATCATGATGCTCTAAAGTTGCTTGAAATGAGAAAAATGATGGATGATTTACCTGTTGTGATCGGGATTTCTAATGTATGTGGTACCTGTCAACTTGGTAAGTTGAGCAAAACTCCATTTCTGTAAAACAAGCTTGAAGAGCAATTGAAAAGCTCCAACTGGTTCATACGGATGTATGTGTACCCATGAGCATACCTTCTTACAATGGCGGACTTTCTTTTATTTATTGATGACTTTTTAAGATATTCCCGGGTCTATTTTCTTAAAAACAAATATGAAGTGTTTCCCATGTTTCAAAGATTCAAGGGTGCTATAAAAAAACAAAGTGCTCATGTCATCAAGACCTCGAGGTCCGATAATGGCACCGAATATGTCTTTTCTCAATTTCAATCATTTCTTTAAAAGGCGGTATTCATCATTAACTCACGACCACTTATACACCTCAGCAAAATGGTGTAAGTGAAAGAAAGAATAGATCAATCATGAACATGACAAGGTGTTTGCTTGTTTGAAAAAGATTTACTAAAGAAGTTATGGGCGGAGGTCTGGAAACACTGCTTATCTATCTTCAAAATAGACTTCAACTAAAGCTATTGATGGTAAAACACCTTATGAAGCTCGGACGAGTGTCAAACCATCATAGCTCATTTGAAGGTTTTTGGAAGCACTCGCTATGCGTATGTTCCCGATGCAAAGAGAGATAAGCTTGATCAAAGGTTTAAAATTGGTGTCTTTGTTGGTTACGGAACCGTTTCAAAAGGATATAGAATTTTAAATCCGATAACCGAGAAGGTTTATGTGAGCGAGGAGTATAAAGTTCGATGAAAATGATGTCCGAAATTGGGAGAAAATGATTGTATAGTCCTCAAATCAAAGCATTAATGCTGAAAATGCACCTCGACCTTCATAATGAAACTTCGAGGAGGAGGATTCGATGATGAGTATCATACTGTGGGAGGCATCAAAACTCCGTAAGATATCTATAGCAGATGTAATGTAGCTATATTTGAACTCGCATCAGCTTGATCAAGCTTTGCAATCTC